ACTGTAATCTGCACACTGATGTAGGAATAATCCCCTTGTGATCAGTGAGGAATCCTCCTTAGAGACTATACACAAGACTGCATCCTAGAGGCAATGGCTTTAGGAAAGACTCAGCATCAAACTTTTATTTTTTTTTAGTATTAAGATGTATTATTTTGACTTCATTTATGTGAATGTAAAGGGATATGTGAATATACATTGTCTTGACCATGAAATAGAAATCCATGTAAGAACAAATATATGTGACTTATAATGTATATTTGATTTATAATATTTATTTATTTACAGTATTTATATACCGCTTTTCTGACCCCTGAGGGGACTCAAAGCAGTTTACACAGAAATAGTGGCAAAATTCAGTGCCTTACACCAAATCACAATCAACATCATGTAACTAAGCATAAAATCAATAAGACAGTTCATCTTAAAATAAGATAAAAACATTTAAAACATTAAATATAAGAATTAAAACACCTATTAAAAACATTAAAATCACATGATCCAAGTACGTGTGAGTCCTTTAGTTGTTGGATGTGCATTTTGTTGCCGTCTAACTAAACCTTACATGTGGAAAAGACCCTTTCTCACTGTCTTCAAGCTGTCATCAGAATAATACATTTAAAGGCACATGTATTATTTGCTGTCTTGATCCTTACCTTCAGAGAAAATATAATTTTATATAATTTTATTTTTATTTATTTAGTTTATAACTTTTAATGCTCCCAGCATGGGACCCAAAGTAACTTAAAGCAAGATACAAGTAAAATTGAAGTATGCTGTTTTTGGTAAAACTTGGGTGATGTCTGAAAGTCACATTGTATAATATCACAATATAATTCACGTAAGCACCTAAACAGAGAAATAATAGTTTCTTTTAATGTAGTGTATCTAGTGCACATGATATAATCAAATTCTAATAAGAGAGTTTTAAATATTAAATAAATGCTTTTCAGCTCATTCTTTTGGCTGTTTCTCTTCCATGTATTTAAGGTTCTAGTTTGCTGGATATGAGACATGCAGTGGCTTTAGTATTCCACTGGGTGTCATGAGGTAGTTGTTAAAACCAATATTAGTTTTGTAGAAATGAAAGGAATTCTCTTTTGAATAGAAATAGCAGCTTTGGAAGAAGAATGTATACAATATCAAACAGCAAGCTTTGAACTCGTTTATATATTTCCTCTTACAAAAATAGCTGCCATAAAATGTTCAGACTTAAAGATAAACCTCACCTAGTATTCTGACAGTGGAAAATATGTGGTCTTTCAAACACTGGACACCAACTTGCATCAACTATTTTCGCTGCTATATATCTTAACCTAGAAGTAGGTCTCCTTATACTCAGTAGAGCTTATTTTTGAATAGACATGTGTAGGATTGTACTGTCTGAATGACTGAATATTTTTATAACTACAAGTCAACCTCAGATTGCGATAAACTGATTACAAATAACTAGATAATTGTAGTTAATTCAGTTTCCCAATAATAAAAAATATTAAGTTGTGATTCAGTGTGATTGGGAGGTGGATTATTTGTGTGCTGAGACTATACAGAGTTTCTCTTGAAGATATTTCTGAGGGATGCACTGAGAAGGAACTAGTGGAGCTGCAGACTTTGGCCTGTAATTAAAAGGACTTACCCGAGGTGCCCAACTCTTTTTTAGGGATACAATTCAATACTTTGAGTGGCATCTTTAAAATCAGGATAAGAATTAGCAACATATTGACCGCTCAACTGACATGGGAGCCATCAAATTCCTTCTCTTGGGAAAACTGTGTGAACACACAGATATCTCTGACTCTGCAAAAATAATACACTTTTTCAGTGCTAATTACCAAGGGGTGGTGTATTTGTGTATGTGTTTTAAGCGTTATATAGTTAATTCTGCATACCACATGCAAGAAATACCTGTGCTTGGTACACACATGCAGAAATTGTGTTGCTCTGTAGTTGTTGCAAGATTGCAATTCTCAGCAGCCTGGCCAGCAGAAACAAGGATGAGATGGACTGAAGCTTCCAGTTCAATGGCATTTTCCAACAGGTATCTGGACCCACCCACAGTGCTGGACACACATTGGACTTGGTTTTCTGTCAGGGATGGGAGGAAGGTGGCGGTGTTGAGGAGTTGTCCATCTCTCCGTTGCCATGGACCGACCACCACCTGGTCAGCTTTAGACTCACTGCACCCCCTAACCTCCGCAGAGGTGGAGGACCCATTAAGTTGGTCCGCCCCAGGAGGCTTATGGATCCGGATGGATTCCTGATGGCTCTTGGGGAATTTCCTGCCGCCTCAGTTGGTGATCCTGTTGATGCCCTGGTCGCTCTCTGGAATGGGGAGATGGCTAGGGCAATAGACACGATCGCTCCAGAACGTCCCCTCTCAAGTAGCCGAGCTAAACCAGCTCCTTGGTTTACTGAGGAGCTGGCAGCGTTGAAGCGAAAGAAGAGGGAACTAGAGAGCGTGTGGCGTTCGGATCCGAGCGAGCCAAATCGAACACGGTTTGTGTCCTTTTTAAGGGCATATGCCGCGGCAATAAAAGCCACAAAGAAGACTTTCTTTGCGGCCACTATTGCGTCTGCAAAGAACCGTCCAGCTGAACTGTTCCGAGTTGTCAGAGGCCTTTTAAAACCCACCATGCAGGATGGGTGCCCTGATGACTCGGCAGCTCGCTGTGAAGCCTTTGCTCAGTTCTTTGCAGACAAAGTCGCTTTGATCCGCTCTGGTCTGGATACCATATTAACGGCAGTCTCTGAGGATGTAACACGAGCATCTGCTTGTCCGGTTTTGATGGATTCATTTCAATTGGTTCAATCCGAGGATGTGGACAAGGTGCTTGGAGGAATGAGAGCTACCACATGCATCCTAGACCCCTGCCCATCCTGGCTTCTGAAGGAGGCCAGAGGGGGATTGGCCGAGTGGGTGAAGGTGGTGGTTAATGCCTCCCTTCGGGAAGGCAAAATTCCAGCCAGCTTAAAGCAAGCTGTAATAAAACCGCTGTTGAAAAAACCATCACTGGACCCCACTCAATTCGTCAACTATCGGCCTGTTTCCAATCTCCCCTTTTTGGGCAAAGTCCTGGAACGTGTGGTGGCCTCACAACTCCAGGCATTCTTGGTAGACACGGATTATCTGGATCCGGCACAGTCTGGCTTTAGGCCGGGGCATGGTACCGAGACAGCCTTGGTCGCCTTAGGATGATCTGCGCCGGGAGCTGGACAGGGGGAGTGTGTCCCTGTTGGTGCTGCTGGACCTCTCAGCGGCCTTCGATACCGTCGACCACGGTATCCTTCTGGGACGCCTCGCGGGGATGGGTCTTGGAGGTACTGTTTTACAGTGGCTCCGGTCATTCCTTGAGGGTCGGTCTCAGAAGGTGTTACTGGGAGACTCCTGTTCAAACCCACAACCTTTGTCTTGTGGGGTTCCTCAGGGTTCAATACTGTCTCCCATGTTGTTTAACATCTACATGAAGCCGCTGGGTGAGATCATCCGGAGTTTCGGAGTGCGATGTCATCTGTACGCGGATGATGTCCAACTCTGTCACTCCTTTCCACCTGCTACTAAGGAGGCTGTCGAGGTCCTGAACCGATGCTTGGCCGCTGTGACGGTCTGGATGGGGGCGAACAAATTGAAATTGAATCCAGACAAGACAGAGGTACTCCTGGTTAGTCGTAAGGCCGAACAGGGTATAGGGTTACAGCCTGTGTTAGACGGGGTCGCTCTCCCCCTGAAGACGCAGGTTCGCAGTTTGGGTGTGATCCTGGACTCATCGCTGAGCCTGGAACCCCAGGTTTCGGCGGTGACCAGGGGAGCATTCGCACAGTTAAAACTCGTGCGCCAATTGCGCCCGTACCTTGGGAAGTCTGACTTGGCCACGGTAGTCCACGCTCTGGTTACATCCCGTTTAGACTGCTGCAACGCTCTCTACGTGGGGTTGCCTTTGAAGACAGCTCGGAAGCTCCAACTAGCCCAACGCTCGGCAGCCATGATTTTAACAGGAGCGGAGCGCAGGGAGCATACAACTCCTCTGCTGCACCAGCTCCACTGGCTGCCGATCTGCTACCGGGCTCAATTCAAAGTGCTGGCGTTGGCCTTTAAAGCCCTAAACGGTTCTGGCCCAATTTACCTATCCGAACGTATCTCGGCCTATCAGCCCACCAGGACCCTAAGATCTTCTGGGGAGGCCCTGCTCTCTATCCCGCCTGCTTCACAGGTGCGGCTGGCGGGGACGAGAGACAGGGCCTTTTCTGTGGTGGCCCCTCGGCTCTGGAACGCCCTTCCCATGGAGGTAAGATCAGCCCCCTCGCTGATGGTATTCTGAAGAAGATTAAAAACCTGGATGTTCGAACAGGCATTTGGTTAATTGGGTGCAATGAATGTGATGATTAAGGATTGGTAATATGGATGACGAAACTGGACCACGATTTTAGTCAGGAGATGCATTGGGTTGTTATTGTTATGTTAATATTGTGTATTATGCTTTTATGGTTTTAAATTGTATATTGCTGACTGTTGTACCTTTGTTGTAAACCGCGTTGAGTTGCCTGTTAGGCTGAGAAACTGCGGTATACAAGTAAAGTAAATAAATAAATAAATTTTCAGGGCCACAGAATTCCCACTCTTTAGTCCCAGTACCAAGAAGTTAGTTCTTCTGCTTCCTGAAATCCCAAAGGTCAGCTTCTATAATTCCTTGTAGGTCAGTGTGCTGTTCCATATCCTTGCAGCAGTAACAGGTATCATTCCTGCTATCTCATGTATCAGGTAAAATTTTAAAGGAGAAGGCAGAAAGCATTTATACTGTGCTGTATTCTCAGTTATATTATTAAGCACCTGTAGTTCCATGATCACTGGGAGATTTATGAGGCCCAAACTTCAAATGTCCTTTGGAAACATGTCAACCTTCCAGTGATTATAAATATTCTTTCTACCCTACTAACAAATTGCATTTTTAAACTACTGATTGCCAATAGTAATGATTCTAACGTCTTGCTATTTTACTTTAAAGATTGAAAACCTTCAAGAACAACTTAGAGATAAAGACAAGCAATTAACCAATTTGAAAGATCGTGTGAAATCCTTGCAGACTGATTCAAGTAACACAGACACTGCTCTAGCAACGTTGGAAGAAGCTCTCTCAGAGAAGGTATGGTGCTGTTTTATTTTGTGGAAAGAAATTTCTTTTCAGAGTGGACACAGGCATTGGAACTATGGGTACAAATAATTCTGCATAAGTGCTTTCCTCATGTGAACAGTGTTACTGCAAAAATACTACAGGAATACCACTGCCAAGTTTGATAGTGAGGAGATGTCTGTATACTTAAGCACCACTTGGTCCTCTCAAAAACTTCCAGCTTCACATGTATCCTTTCATGGAAGATTTTAGCCATCATATAAAGCCCAGAAACCACACAACACTCCATCATATACAAATTTAACACAGAGTAAATATATGCCGAAATAGTTATGTTAGATCCCACAGTTTCACAACCAGTTACGTGAGGCTCCCTTGAGACAAAGGTGTAAAGCCTAGTCTAAAGGGGAGCTTTTTGAAGCCTCTGAGAAGAGAGGCCAGGCAGGGACCCCATGAGGCTGGTGTGCCCGCCAGCCTCAGCTTGTGAGAGGGGCAGGGTTTAGCCTATGTAGGTAGTCTGCCTCTCTTAACAGCTTCCCTTTTCTTCAGTATAACCTACCCTAAGTCAACATGAGCAATTACTGGTTGCCTTAGGGGACAGTAGGAATCTATTTCCTCCTTAAAAGGAAAAGAAAAGGTTTTTCGTTTTGCCTTTCCCACATTGTATCTGAAGGAGGAAGATATATAAGTGTGGTGGTGTGGTAGTTAGGTTCATCTTGCTGAAATTGACTGGGGACGGAGAGGGAGTAACAGCTGGTGTTCATCTTGGTACTCAGTTTTGGTGAAGGGAGGATCCCTGGAAAGGGACTTGTAGGTTGTATGGCCGGGGGGGGGGGGGGGCTGAAAAAGAGACTACTTGAGGTCTGAATGGGTTATTGGATCCCTCTTATAGGACTTGGGAGGCAACACCCCAGGAAGGCCTTTCAATATGATCATGATCATGCCAAAGGTAGCAACCCATTTGAGTTGGGTTTGCATTCAGAATCTGGTGGTTCACTCAGGGTTCAGAGGAGATTGTCAGCAAAAGACCCACATTGAGTTGCTCTTCCCTAAATAGTTGTTGCCCAGGATAGCTTGGTTGACAAGTTAGGTCAATAAAATGACCAGTATTTATCCATATATTTGTGTCTGGCCTTGTCATTTTTTTATAGGTCTTCAAATGACTGTGAAGCTACTTGTACAATGGCTAATTTGTTCTCCACTCATCAAATCAAAAGTGAGATAGAAAAGTTTGTGAGTGCTTGCAGTTCCATTGGTTGCACTTGGGATTGCATTTATGTAACCCCTGAGAAAACACAGCTACTTACATATGTTTACACCAGTGTAGTAATGATCAATGCAGAAAAATAGGAGATGACAGCAAAAATGAAGAACAAGAGACCACTTCCATAAGGGCTGACAAATCAAAGGGAAGTTTAGACCAAGATGCTAGATGACCATTACATGAACAAGTACATATAAAAAACAAACCATTTGAAGAAGAACGTAAAGTTTTCGAAATTAAAATAGATGTGGTACTTGGAAGTTGTAAATCATTAGAAACAGATGGTATAACAAGGGAGTTGCTTCAAACTAAAATCAGTCTATATAGAAAACAAAACAATGGAAATGAATCTATATTTCAGTCCCCAAGAAAGGGATTGCATTAACTTTGCATGAAAGCAAAGTGAAAGCAAAGAGAATTCTACAACAAAGATTTCTGTTCTGAACACAAATCAGAAGGTGCAAGAGAGAGCAGGTAGTTGGTATGTAAGTGCTCTTGATTAGTCAGTCCAATTCATTTAAGTCACCAGTTACCTGGGCAAGATGCAGGGAGAAGCACAATGGTTAAGGGAGACTTCAAAGAGAGAAGAAAATGGGGGAGGCACAGTGGGCGGGGACAAATCTCCACTGTGTGATTGTAAACGAAATGAAGAACTCCTGAATAAAGCGGAGAAATGAAGAGGCATGATGGAGGTAAGAAAATCATCTGTGTCATAGACAAATGGAGTGTTGCAGAAGCCATCAATCCAGACTACTTGATTTGTCTTGTGGGATGAAGTTCTTGTAGGCAGCTTGAGTCCCTAGAAAAGACAATAATGTTTGGAAAGGTAGAAGGTAGTAGGAAAAGAGGAAGATCAGGTTGCAGATGGATAACTCAATCAAGGAAGCCACAGTCCCAAGTCTGCAAAATCTGAACAGGACTGATGATAGGGTGACTTGGAGGCCTCTCATTCATAGGGTTGACATATGTCACAGTCAGCTTGATCACAGTTAACAGCAACAGTGTCCCCAAAAGATCCTAGCTTTCAAGTTCAGTCATGTTCGCTCAACATCTGCAGTTACTTTTACTGCAAATAAGCAGTTTGAATGTGTCTGATATAGAGCTTTCAACCATTGCCATTTAGTTCTTGCTTGCTTTAGTGATAAAATATATGTAGATTAGACCTGTAAGGGAACAGATATATACAGCCAGACCATTTGCCAATATAAATAATACTAGAACAGATATGTTGTTGGGGCTTCATCATGTTAGTGGTTAGTCAGTGGAAACTCGGGACATTTAAATATGCCTTTTCAACATCTAGTTCATGGAGATTAAAGTTTAATTGATCTTTGTTTTCTGCTGGAGAGTGATATTATCCAGTCTTAAATAAAAAATAAAAGGTGCAAGTGTGATTAACAGCACAAATGGTTTATACTCATCCTGGTATCATTAATAAAGTAAAATTTAAATAAATCGTACAGGCTTCAATTTTTTTACAAAATAAATGTTTTTGAGCCACAATAGTTCTATTTAAAAAGTGGAAAGATCCACAATTTCAGTGAAAACTGACAGATTTTATTCTTTTCTAGCTATTGAAGAACCAAAGTATAGAGTCAATTCATCCATAATAAAATTAGTATCATTATAGAATTTATCTGTCATGACTTGAAACTACTGATGGCCAAATTCTTAATGAAATTCTCTAACGCACTTTTGTCAGTTCCTAGGATTATGGATGTCATTGCATCTTTGTCTTCAAAATTCCATAGATTTAGCTATGGGTGCTGTGGGAATTAATTTTGTTATTAATATTTCACCATGCAGGTTTTGTAGATAATTGTGCTGGTTCTAATATAAATTTCTCTCTTTTTCATGTCACAATCTGTGGAAATCCAGTGAGATAATTTGGGAGGCTTTAGGAGGGGTTCCCCCCCCCCCAAATATTTCAAAATAAGAATAGGAATCATAGAATCTCTTTTGAGTCTTAGCCCAGTTAGACATCCATTCTGGCTTCTTTGCACTTGTATTATTTTTTCTCTTTGTTGGCACTGTTTGGAATTGCACCTTGAATATTTCACTCTTTAAAAACTCCAATTCATCCTGAACTTCCTTGGTTTTTTAGTATTGGCATCCATGGAATGCTGCTCAGTATTTCCTTCATTTTTTGGAAGTCTGCTCTCCTAAAGTCCAGAACGTGGGTTTGACTTGTCTTAGTTTCAGCTTTCCTTCGTATCGCAAACTGCAGGAGCACATGATCACTTGCCCCTAAGGATCCGATCACTGCGATTGCATTGATCAGGTCCTCCTTGTTTATTAGATGAGATCCAGATTAGCCAATCCCCTTGCTGCCTCTTTTACCCTCTGGACCATAAAATTATCTGCAAGGCAAGCAAGGAATTTGTTGAACTTTGTACTCTTGGCCAAGTTTGTTTTACAGCAAATATTGGGATAGTTGAAATCACCCATGACTACTATATCCCTTCTTTGTGTCTGTTTGGTCAACTGTTGGTTCACTGAGTTCTTCACCCTGGCTCAGAGGTCTGTAGTAGACACCCTCAATAAGATCTCTTTTAGTCCCGGTTCCCTTGATTCTATGCCTAGCAGTATCATTGGTTCCTATATGAATTAACATGAGCGGGGGATGATGGGGCTTGAGGAGCCTGGTGAGCCTCTGAGTGACATGGTATGTTTTTGCCCATGGGAGGCAGCATATTTCTCAAGCCATCCCATCCTGTCAAGAAATGACGGCTTCCATTCTTCTAAGGAGGGAGTCTCCTACTACCAAAACCTGTTTCCTTTGAGGATTGACAGGGTCCCTTTTGTGCAAGATAGTGTGTAGGTCCCCAGAAAAGTAATCCTGTTGAAGTGGATTGTGTAGGTGTAAAGTATTGTTCTTCTCCTCGACATCTCTGGTGCATTCGTCAAGGACAATCTATTGAGATTCATCCAAGATCCCATCATTCTCCTGAGTGTGTTCCTGTTGCACCTAGTCTATGACTGAGGATGGAACATCTGCATGATTGTGCAAATGTGAATGTGGTGAAGTGTTGTTATAGTAAGGGCTGTCCCCCGCACACTGATCAAGGACAGTCCACTGAGCGGTATCTAAGTCATTGTGGTCTTTCCCAAGACAATGCGTTTCCTGATCAGGTGTTAGTTGTGTAACAATTTGGAATCTATTGTGTAACAGCAGCTGGGCAGAAATATTCTGAGGAGGCTTCCTGATCCTGTGTTTCTTTCTAAGGGTGATGTTCTTCCAAGCCTGAAGGTTGTCCACATCTGAAGTTATCTCCCCATAAGCTTCCCCATAATGTTGGTGTTGGTATGATGTGGGTTGTGTGTATAGAAAAGTGTGTGATGATGTGTTCAAGAATAGTTTGAGTTTCTGAATGTCCTTCAGTGTCTTAATACGGTCCTCAAGTTGTTGGATCCTCTATTCCATGAGAGTCATCTGTTTACACTTGGGAAGGTTTTGTGTTTGCTCCATCTGCACACTGCTAATAACCTCCCTCTTTTGTTTGTTTGTTTTATGTTGTTTTCTGTATGAAGGAGTAAAGGTGTGGGTTAGTGAAGGTGTGAGTTTGCGCATGCAACACTGGCTTATATAGCTTAAACAGGAAGCAAACACACACTCCACAATCACTCACTAATTGCTGTCCTGAAACTGTCAATCACTGCTGGCTGAAGAATTTAACCTCGCTTTCAAAACAAAACAAACACTCAGAAAAGCTAGTCTTAAACTACAAGAGTCAAGCACACACTCAGATTTCTAATGCACTAAGACAATGCTTACCTGAAGCAAAGGGAGCAATGCTGGCTTCTTGCTTCCTCAGCTTCTGTGGGAAAGCTCTCAAAGCCCATAATAAGACCGTCCTCCTAATTTACAATGCTGAGTGTGGTATGCTTTTATGCTATAATGGAGAGAGATAAAAATCAGGAGGATGTTCAGTTAGAGAATGCTATAAATATCCTTATCTTATTTATTATCTTGATCCATCACAGTCTGGTTTCAGGCCTGGCCACAGTACGGAGACAGCATTGGTTGCCTTGGTGGATGACCTCCAAAGGGAACTAGACAGGGGAAGTGTGTCCCTGTTGGTTCTCCTGGACATCTCAGCAACTTTCGATACCATCGACCATGGTATCCTTCTGGGGCGGCTCTCCGGAGTGGGTCTTGGGGCATCACTTGCAGTGGCTCCGCTCTTTCTTGGAGGGTCGCTACCAGTTGGTGAAGCTGGGCAACACCTGCTCAGACCCCTGGCCTTTGTCCTGTGGGGTCCCACAAGGTTCCATCTTATCCCCCATGCTCTTTAATATCTACAAGAAACCACTAGGTGAGGTCATCCAGAGTTTTGGAGTTTGGTGCCATCTGTATGCAGATGACACCCAACTCTACTACTCCTTTCCACCTAATTCCAAGGAAACCTCTCAGGCTCTAAACCATTGTCTGGCAGCTATGATGGATTGGATGGAGTCTAACAAGTTGAAACTTAATCCAGACAAGACAGAGGTCCTCATTGTTAGTTGGGGGGGGGAATCAGGTAGTTGGGTGGCAACCTGTGCTCGATGGGGTTACATTCTTGCTGAGGACACAGGTTTGTAGCTTTGTGGCCCTCCTGGACTTGACATTGTCACAGGCTCCTAACTGGAGCTAACTATAGGCAGTGCACAATGCCCCTATTAAAACAGCTCCACTGGCTGCCGATAAGTTGCCAAGCCAAATTCAAGGTGCAGGTGATTACTTATAAAGCCCTAAACAGTTCGGGTCCCACCTATCGCCGTGATTGCATCTCCCTCAATGAATCGGCGTGGACTCTAAGATCCACTGGGGAGGCCCTCCTCTCACTCCCACCACCGTCTCAAGTCCAGTTGGTGGGGACAAGGGAGAGAGGCTTCTCAGCAGTGGCCCCCTGCCTCTCGAATGCCATCCCCAAGGATATAAGGCAGGCTCCATCACTCACCTCTTTTCGTAAGAACTCAAAGACTTGGTGGTTTCATCAGGCCTTTGAAAATGACTAGTCCCCAGTTCCAAGCCCTTGGCCAACTGTTAGGACTTGGCCTTGTACTCCACCCATTACCCAGTCCCCTGTCATCTGAGGGCACTTTTTCTTCCAACCCAGACCTTTTGTATAGTCCTTTGATTGGCTCTGGAAATGAGCACCCCGGTCCCCCAGTATGACCATTGCTGAGACTGGTCCCTGCACTGTAGCATTCCGCCAGTCCCATGCTTCCCTTTTTTCTGCACTAGCCTTGGCCCAGCTCGCTCAACAGTTTAGACCCTTTATCAAAATTTTGTCCCCTGATAGCTTACCTTGCACGAAAGGAGAGAGCGGAACTGGTTCTTAAATTGGTTTTAATATATATGTTGTGTTAATAGTTTATGCCCATGTTTTATGTTTCACATTGTATGTCTCTTGTATTATTTTGCATACGTGGAAACTGCTCTGAGTCCCCTAGGGGAGATAGGGCAGTATATAAATAAAGTTTTATTTTTATTTTTTATTATTGATATATTAAAAACCAAATTAATGCTATCTCTGCACTGAGTTTTATTCCAGGTTTTAAAATTAAAATAGCTAAATTAGATGTTGAATCCTACTGCCAAAAATAAGTTCAGCATATTTTGAGTAGCTTGTTTAAAGTCAGGGATTCACTATCCCACTGACACAGAAACCTTTGAGGACCTCATTTCATCTTATTCCTCAGTGACTGTAGCCTGTGGAACAGTTCCTCAGCGTTAATGTTGGCTCCAGGGATGATGCATTTATTTCTCATGCCAAGTCCCTGGAGAGCAAAACAAACCCTGAAGGATGAGAAGTCTAGAAATAAATGCACAGGGCTTTCAACAGGGCTTCCTTCAAAATCCAAAAGTAGGGGCAGTAGAAACAAGAAAGAGCAAACTGTGAAAAATATTTATTTGTTTAATGTCAAGGCTTTGTATAATTTTTCTACAAAATCTGTGAATCTTGAGGAATCTAACAATGCAGTCTCAAGTGTGTCTGAACACAGCACGTGTCCCAGCATGGTTTTAATCTCCGGAAAGCATGTGGATTAGTGTTACAGTAATATCCAGTAATAATCACATTTTAAATGAATACATTCAAACTCTGTTTAACTTCTAGCAAATACCCAAATATATCTAAATTTGTCACTGCTGTACAGTTACTTTCCTTTAGGAGGTGAAACAGGATTAGATGCTCTTTAGTACTGCAATCAACCTAAGCACTTCCAGGTTTTTTTTTAAAAAATGCTCTTAAAATGCAGTAGCTAATAATGCCTGTTCTGTATCAACAATCTTATTTTGAGATCATTGGTCTTAGAGATGATTATTTTTCTATGTCAAAAAGCTCCAAATGTGTATGCATGGAAGGTCCCCTGACTGCGGCCTTATTACTTGGTTAAATAAATGTCTTCACTTGAATGTTAAAAATCTCACAATAATATTAACATTAGTTATATATTTGTCCATCTAGCTCAATACATAGCCTCAGCTATAGTACTGATCAAACATAAGGCTCTTTTGTGTGATGTATTATATTGTATTACAAGAGAAAAGAACTAAGGTTTTTGAAGAAACACAAATATTTGCGCTCTCTTTTAAGGGTGTACACTAACAGCTTCCTTTTGAAATGAGGCACATATTTATACCTCATGAATACATTTTGTGTTGAACGAGATTGTTGCTGTCCTCCTGGCTTTCTAACTTAATATGATGCTGCTCAAGAATATAGGCCTCAAGAGTATAGGCAACAGCTGGTTGTCCAGTAAAAAGGGAAAAGTGGATATTTGCATTGGAAACCAGTGTTTATATCAGATCTTGGAGATGTTACTTTTTGGATTGGTTCCCACAAACCTCAACATAGTATGCCTACTACTATGTCAGGTGGGAAGATGCTGGAATATGTATTCCAAAACAAAACAAAACAACTTTCCCAATGATATGGTTTAAATTCATCAAGTGATAATGGAAGGATGGTAACAGGAAAGTCAAAAATACATAGGATATACATAGGATACAGTACAATAACAAACTATAGCAAATTAAATGCAATTCACAGAGCTTGCATGATGACTTGTTTTGTGTACACATGTACATAAGTGTTTAATTAATTAATGTCTTGCCTTTCTTCTGACAAATGAATACAAGTACTGTACTGTTAAACTCTTATAGTGCAACTGTTAAAAACCAAATAATTTTATTAAAATTGTATTAAAATTAACATGCGTTAAAAGAGTTTTAACACATGTAAAGAATGATTTAAAAGATTAAAGGATAACACATCTACTAACCGTTTGACCTTCTCTTTCTCTTTTTGCATTGTGCCTTGGACTGCACAAGCAGAGAGAAGGGTGTTCTTGTATAATTAGCGAATCACAATATGTTGAATCATGGGAACTTCACAGCTTGACAGGTCAAAGCTGAGGGCCTGACCTCCATTCATAGAGCTAGTTAAGTTGCTGGGAGGATGACCCCAGTATTGATGTTTTGCTATTGAGAGCAAATCCAGAGTTTCTGTGGAAAATAATAATATATATTTTAACTTCTTAGGCCATATATGCTGCTTGAAATGATAATTTGTAGCTGTACTTTCTCTTTTTAGGAGAGAATTATAGAGCGATTAAAGGAGCAAAGGGAGAGAGATGACCGTGAAAGGGTTGAAGAAATTGAATCCTTTAAAAAAGAAAACAAAGACTTGAAGGAAAAGGTGAATGCTTTACAAGCAGAGCTAACAGAAAAAGAGGTCAGTATTTGCAATTAAATATTTGGATTGATGTTATTTAATTATCATATGGAATTTTGTAGTTTAGGTTAAATGTTAGAGCAGAAAAATAGCATATTCTGAATACTGAAGGACACCCCCCCCCCCACTCCACACATTCATATTGGTAAATAATGGATGGGCTCCAAATGGATTTTTGTATATATATAAAAAAAGAATTTTGTTTGGAACTGACTATTTTTGCAGTTTTGCCCTCTGCTTTGTTTCCTTTTTCCTACTGTATCAGAAGGGACCACAATTATTTTGACCATTGGAAACTGCAATATGAAACTTCTCAGGGCCATTCTGAGGACCCTTCCAGACAGGGCAGAAACCCAAGAGGAAGTGGGTTATTTTAACCCCCTTTCTCCTGGTTTCTGTCCTCAACCCAAACCAGGGCTTTCCCTTGAGGGATGGCTAGATGCCGTGGTTGACCCAGGATGGCATCCAGCCTTCCTCCATGCCCCATTTCTCTCAAAAAACTTACTGGGGGGGAGGGAGGCTGATGGGTACTCTGAAGAGTACTCCTGCATGTCATTTTTGCATGCCAGGAGTACAGTGCAGAGGGGCCTGTGCAAGGGGGTTGGATGCCATCCTAAGTCAACCTTTGACTGACCTGCAGAGGGGACTGGACTGCCAGCAGGCCCCTCGAGTAAGGTTTTTTTTGGGGGGGAATGGGGAGCTGGGGTGAGGGGATGGATGTGTACCTTCTTGCTTCTTCAATCTCCAGGACCCCAAAGAACTGGGAAGGCTGTGGGGATTGACCCCTGAGACTGCAGAAGCAGGCTTAGGAGCCAGTGCCCATAGGCCTGGAACTTGACAAGTTCCCGACCTTAGCTTAATGTTCTAATCTTTCCAGGAATCACATTAATGTTCAGTAAACTGGGAAATTCAAATTTATTCCACATCAATCCGGGTTTACCTGAGACGTTGTTTGGATGCCTTGGGTAAACCCATTATCTATTATGGGGAATCAGGCCTGTATAGAAGGGCCCTCATTCAGTGGATGAAACTTAATTGCCATTATTTTTACCATTTTTACCAGTTTGTAAATTATGCCTGTTTAAATTGTTATATCATATTATATGTCTACCTGCGTTTGGAGACAAGCCCAGAAAATGTAGTTGCAGAATGTTATGATGAGTTCTAACTGGGATTTAGCTTTATGATCGTATTGTGCCATCATTCATTTCAGAGCTAAAATTAAAAAGTAGGCTCTGGCCTTTAAACTCCTTTGAGGCTAGGAACATAGCATCTCAAGTGGCTGTTCCCATGTGTCACTAACAAAGCTCTGAGATAATCTACAGAAAACCTTTTTTCACATGGCAATGGTTTAAGTAGCAAGGAGTAAAAAGAACTTCTCAGTAGTGACTGCTCTTGCTTCACATTTGTCCTTTCCTGCCCAGAAAAGTTTTTATACTGTAACACTCAAAGGCTAATTTGTACTTTCATAGGGCTTTTAAATTCTCTTCTTCAGTTCTACTCCTGTACATTCATTCATGAGGAATCAACAAACTAGGGGCTTCCACAATCTTGGCAGCATTTGTCTAGACAAATGGTTCCCAATCTTTGGTTTTCCAGGTGTTTTGGGCTTAGTTCCCACAATTCCTAACAGCCGGTAAGCTGGCTGGGATTTCTGGGAACTGAAGTCCAAAACAACAGGAAGACCAAAGTTTGGGAAATACCGGTCTAGGTCAAGAGGCCACAAATTTTCTTCCCCATCCACACATCATCCAGAGAATGAAAGCTGTGAAATAACTAAAAATTGATTTGTTGGACGAATAGTCTTGACTGTGTACTAAGAAGTCCCTGATCCAAATTTCATTAACTCAGCCAAAGCAGTTTTTAAGCCTGTACTACATAGGTCATAATGATATGATAATGAGTAAAACATCATGCTTTCATTTCTGTTGAGTAGTGATGCTTTACCTTTTAGGAATTAGCATTAGTTATGAACTTGAAGGTGAAAAAAAATCAAGAATGTTATAGCACATATTTTCTATATATCATACCTAATTTTTATTAAAAGTGATGTTGACAAAAGTCTAAAGTTTTGCCATAGTCTTGATTGGGCCTAAGATGGTGTCAGAAAGTTGCCATCTTATTGTGAGAGCATCAAAATTATATAGTCTTATGATTGGAAATGATTACTGATGGAAAACTAATTATGTCAAAATCCATGGTTCCTCCATGACTGTATTTCCAACTCTATGCTTTGCTTAAAGGTGGTGGCAATGATGATAGCCAGCTGTTACTGCTGACTATCTCTTGCAAGGTGTTAGTGCAGAGTTACAGACATCTAGAAAATGGAAAGAAAAAGGAAGAGGGGCCAATCGAGGGCAAGATGGATGGATGGTATCCTTGAAGTGACTGGCTTGACTTTGAAGGAACTGGGGGTGACCACAGCCGACCGGGAGCTGTGGTGTGGGCTGGTCCATGAGGTCACGAAGAGCTGGAAATGACTGAACAAATAAACAACAACAGACCTGCATACATGGATGTTTTCTAACTTAATCCCATAGTCTTATAACTATGTTTTATGTGTGAAATGAAAGGTGCTAATAAAAAATATTAGAAATAGTTCATTGAACTTAATACAATGATAAATACAAGCAAGCAGCCCAGTGATGGGGTTGATACCCATTTCTTTACATAATGAAAAAATGTAGACCTCTGCCCTGCATTAACAATATTTGATGCTTTTTGGAGGGTAGGTCAGTTCCTCCACTTTTCATTTCTTCACACACACAAACACATTGAAAGGGTGCTGAAGTGGTTCTATCAAGTGAAAACTAGTCATGATGCTTTACTAGAATTTGAGGAATTCTACTCTTCAGTGTCAATTGCTGTGGAACCCAAGCTGCTAAGGCTCTCACTTCTAGGTCTGCCATCAGCTCCTTTTTAACATTTGCTACAGTCAAATTGCTGCTGAACTAGCTTGGACTGATCCAGTAGCACTCTCCTTAGCTGCAGATAACATCTATGTGGCAAATCTGATTGAGTTGTTAAATAGGGAAGGATTGGTTTATAAAACAAACAAGGCTAAAGAGTGGTATCAGAGTGGCATTTCTTGAAGTCAAAAGGAAAAAGGAAGGCCATCACCTCTTCACCTTTCATTTTCACTTTTTCTCAGCACGAGTTCAATGCACAGTATGACATCTGATGTTCAGTATAGCTCAATGTTTAATGAGCAATTCTTCACCATTTTACGAATAGCTAATTATGTGAGGTGGAATGAGAAAATGTCTAGTATGATGATATTGAATAATATATTATACTATGGATTCAGCCCAGAGAAAAACCTCTTCAGAAATCCTGGAGCAAGAATTGCAGACTAGACTTGAAGCAACAGTCTCTTGTTGCCCCAAGATATTGTGTACCCCTTCTAACAGTTCTGTGTCTTTTCAAAACAAACGAATTGTGATGGGAAAGCCCAGCTGGATTTAATATTGTGAGACTTCAAAATCCACAATACAGTAATGGCATTTGGCGCCATTTCTATGTTTGATCAGAGTCACCTGATATGATGGCCTGAGAGAGGCTACCCTGGAAATTAGTCATAAAAACCATACATTAAGTGGAAACATTGCAGATACTAAAAAAAGCATACTTAGTTCCAAGCTGGATATTACTTTGCTGAGGAGGCTTATATGTATGGAAAACTAGAGATTACAAATTAAACATCCTGGAAAACTTTAAAACATTAGCATTATATGATTTTTTTAATTTAAGGCAACAATTCAGTTTCCAAACATGTAGCTACTCCTACGAATATCTCTATGTTGCCAGTGATTATCCATTTACTTTTGGTTAGACTAGAAGCAGTACAGTGTACATACTGCCTATATATGGTATGATCTATTCCTATGTAAAAAATATATATGATTGCATCAAGGGCTGAACACAGTACGAGCCTTACTATTTTGGACTCTGAAATGTCAGTGCAGATATTCCTGAAAGGACTGCATTCTGCACAGTTGTCAAGTCTGCTGTGAAAGGTTTACTAGGGATTAAAATCAGGTCAGTGTTTTCTGGTAACCTTCTCTTTCAATTGTTTTTTTTATATATATCTTTTTTTAGTCTAGCTTAATTGACCTCAAAGAACATGCATCATCATTGGCTTCTACAGGGCTGAAAAGAGACTCCAAGTTAAAGTCTTTAGAGATAGCCATAGAACAAAAGAAGGAGGAGTGTAGTAAGCTAGAAGCACAGCTGAAAAAGGTAAATACCACCGATAAGAACTTTTGTTCGGGATGCATGCTTGCATTTCTGCTATTAAAGATGTTGCCTGCTGGTTTCAAGTCCTAATTACTTTTTAGAGATGGAAATGTTCACAATGTACTTTATAGCTTGTCTATTAAAATTTCTGAAAATATGTCTGATTCATATGAAATCTAAAAGTGTTTTATATGGCCTTAATTTATTTGGATAGCTTGAATAACAACAGCACTCTGGTGGTAATAATAATAATAATAATAATAATAATAATAATAATGAATAATATGTGTTATTAGATGGTATCTAGCAAGAAAGTCTTGTAAATACATACTGTACAAACTTATGGGGTGTAAATCATATTTAATTGCATGTGGTCTCAAATTTTATCACCAATACTTTTGAAACCATGTTAATACATTTTATCATGCATTATTTCTCTTTCCTATGTCAGTTAGTACTGTGTGTGTTCATTGTTGAAACACAAACTCATAACATACTTCTTGGTTTAAGCATCATGTTTGCCTTCCACACATTGCAAATAGACATGTGTTACCATTTGACTGGGGGCACAGTGTAGCCAAATCTGGGCAAGTCTCATTTTAATTGAAAAGGGAACTTACGAATTCTTCCGTTTGTCACATGGCTCATACATCATTGCAGGCAGACATTTATAAAAGTGTTAATGATAGAAAACAAAGCAATAATTTCTACAAGAATACGAGTAATTTCTACAAGGTTCCACACACAGTTTTTTAAAGAAATTATTTTGTCCACCAGTTTAGTTTCAATTGTTCTTGAGAATGACCCTGAGAATTGTAAAAAATATATCAGATAATTACTTTTAAGGTAAGCATTTTGATTTCAACTGCATAGTTTCATGGTCACTTAACATGTAAATACTAAAAACAGTTTTAAGTTCAAGACTAGTGTTTTATTATTGGGTATATAAACAGATAATTTAGTCAACGTTAACAAAGCATGTGAGTTAGAAAACAAAGACTTAACAAAGAAAACAGTAAAAATATTAAAAAGATGGTGTCGTGTAGTGGTTTGAGGGTTTGACTAGGATCCTGGAGACCAGGATTTGAATCTTCACTTGGCCATGGAAACCCAGTGGGTGACCTTGAATAAATCAGAGTCACACACTCTCAGCTCCAGAAGGAGGCAGTGATAAAATCTCCTCTGAAAGAAAACCTCATAATAGGTTCACTGCAGGATTATCAAAAGTTGGAAACAACTTGAATGCATACAACAGCAGCAACAAAAGTAAAAACATTGTTTTTCAATATAAGAAATATAGCATTTATTTCTTGATTTGTCATGATGAGAAATGTACAGGATTCTAATAAATGACTTCAAGCAATTTTTTTAAATTACAATTTACATCCTCTAATTTCTGCTAAAACATAAGGTATTATGTGTGGAAAAGCTCATATACCAGATATGCAGGGTTGAGAATTAAGCTTTTAATCTTTTATGATGATCATCAATCATCAAATTAAGTTAGTTTATTTGTCTGATAGTGAAAATCACACAGGTGCAAAATACTTCATTCCTATATATGCTGTTTTCAAATGTCTGCTTTCAGCAGTACTGATAGATCATAAAATTGAATTATCTGAATGTTCAGAATGTAATGACAGGACTGCGTGAATGAGAGGAATGAAATATTTTAAAAGTGGGGAAAGAAATTCCAAATAAAACTTGAAAACACATTTTTCAGTATTTCCCTTTTTTAAAAAAACCTTTGAAAATTGCATGTAACATATCATTCTGCAAGAACACAGTGAAAAATTTAGTGATAAATCGAAATGATGACAGAAAATGTGGTAACTTGGTACTTTCTTCCTTTCAGTCACAGAAAAATGTCCTATGCTCTGAGTTAGTTTGCTGTAAATAAGTATTTTTTCTTATCACTTTCATTTCTTTTCTCTTTTTTCTGTTTAATTTCTTTACATATTGGTGAGCCAGGAATTGACAAATCAGTAAATCATATTTATGGAAATCCATTTCTATTTTTAAATGTTTTTATGCCTCCCCACTGCTCACTTTGGCATAATTTTCCATCAGCAACCTTTGTATTTGGAAATGAATACCCAAACTTAAATCTGATCAGCAAATTACTGTATGCACTCATCAACAAGGTAGATATTTCATTTAAAAATACTGACCCCTCCAAAACTGGGTTGACTTGTTTGTGAGCCAATCTAAAAACAAACCATTCCTTCCTCTGAATCGAGTGCTGAAAGGTGAGAGATTCATCTATCCCAGATGAATCTAATAGCACCAAACCCTCTACTCTCTTGTCCATGGCACTGCTTCTAGCTTTTATGAATTCATGGGTGGGAAATGGCAGCAGTGGTGTCTCTTTGGCACTTCCCCTCATAGGAGCACTAAATGAATAGAGGGGGTTGGCGCTTCTTAAGCTCTCACGTTTCTGCTTGGAGAAGGGATGTTTCATTTTTATATGAGTTAATAATATACCTTAACTTATATGAAAAAGAAACAATCTCCTCCTCTGAGCGGTGAATGACCTTTTTGAATATCTGGTTGAGAAAATGGCTATAGCAGCAATAGCCAGAGTTTACTGGTCACCTTAGGTGACATGGGTACTTTCTCTTCTCTTTGGAATGGCTCAACTTGATCCATTGGTCCTATCAAAATTCACAGTTTTGGGCCCCAGACATGTCTGAGTATATATGGACACATTGAAAAATGGAAGTCATTAAATAATATATTCAGATGTAATGACTGGGATCCCACATGGTACTTCCATAGATAGAACCAGTTTCCCAATGGAATCAAAAGAGGACAAACCCCTTTTTTCCTAAAGTCCCCAATATACACAAATCCCCTGCTCCAGAGTATTTGAAAACCCCCAAAACCATTTTTTGCACTATGAAGTCTTCAGAAAGGAGGAAAAGAGGTCTCATTCTAGCAGCATTGCATTTATGCCACAATATTACAACTTCATAATGCTCATATTTCAAGGAGCAGGAGAACACATAAGAAATTAATTTCTTTTTGATGGATGAAATAACACTATACAGCTAAATTAGTGCAGGATGAGTTCTAGTGGTGCCTGGGAAGAGCTTCATTAGAAGCCCTGAGGCCTTCCTCCCCAATGAAGATGAAGGAGCTATTTTGAAAAAGGGAGTTACTCTGAAAGGACACTCTGAAAGGACCCTCTGACGCACCTCCAAGGCAGTATAAAAAGCAGCATCTCAACAAGTCTGGATAACCACAAAGCACCCATGAAAAAAAGAGGGCACCTGCATAGGACTCTTGCATCTTTGCTAGTGAAACACTGGTAGCAAATTGGAGAATATGAGGATACAACAGAAGGTTTTTCTCTAGTATATTTTCCACCACTAATTTAGAAGTATGGTAGGTCAGTTTACTTCTTTACAAGTCAATAATGCATAATTTGCTTCTCTTGTAGTGGTTTCAGCAAATATCACTGATGGGAAAACATCAATCACAGGGCAACCTATTCAGCCCATCAGTGTGTCATATAGTTGAGTCATACCTAGAGGAAGAGTGGATTAGGGGATTTATAATTTGCAGGATCATTTGCTTTGTTCGCCCTGATATTTCACTTCACAATGACTTCCTTTTGTTTGTCACTCCTTAGATTTCCTCATGACTACTGTTTGCCAAACTATGCTGTTCATTCAAATAAGACTGAGATGCAGTTTTGTATTAATATGAGAAGAAGGCCATAAATTGAATGATAAAGTTTAATTAATCTTTTATTATTACCATCTTTGAAGCATTGGTGATAAATTGTAGTCTTGGCCAAAAGCACTTCTAGTGATTCATTGTTAGAGTCTAGCACTCAATGTATCATCAAAAGTGGACAGCTTTCTGTATTTCATGGGTTATTTCACTTTAGAAAGGGAAAGTAACACACTTAGATTTCTCACTCCAGCTATTCTTTTTTAGGAGCCAAAGTCAACATTTATTTTTCCCCAGTGCCTCTCGCTTTCACTAAGGAATGTTTAGAAACTTAAATTTTGACTCCTTTTTAAAATTCCAAGTTCTTCTGTGCAAATGTGCTGGATTTGCTGACCTAATCCTGTTTTCCTGGCTCTTTCCTCCTTTTCCTGTCTGTGCTTCATTCCTTCCCAACTTTGCAATGTAGCAAGCTGAACAATTGTTCAATCAGATGTACAATCCAGTAAGTCATTTCAGAAAGTCTCCGCTGTAACATATGAAAGCATGAGGATCCATCTACCCACCACCATTGTTGTACTCTTCCACTGTGGAGCTTTGCAAAACTATGATGACCTCATTTGCATTATGTCAAACGACACGAGTTTTGTGGACTTTAAGGCTCTATGTTTTAAAATCATGTGTGAAATGCTGCTTCTCAGAAATTGGACGAATGAATCATTCAGTTTTTAAGTGCCTTCAAGTCCTCAACTACTTAACTGTAAGAAAGCATGCAGATACCAGGCTTTGTTGTTATTTTAATGCTATGCTCATACAGTACTTTGTTGGATCCTTCAAATTGAAGCTGTGCTTTAGAATGTTTTTCAGAATATCTCGAACTCAGATATCATATGTATTGACTAAAAATGGTTATGTCACATTTTCACCAGTAAGTTAGAGGATATCTCTTTAAGAATAATAAAGATAAGGTCCTGGATTCAATTCTTATTCCCAGCTAGAGCACTTCAATGGGAACTTGGTATGTTAGCACTTATGGAAGTCTTTTGATTTAATGGGGTCTGCCTTAGTTGGAGTAACAACTGTTTTTAGGCCACCAGGTTTAATATTTGTAAAACAGTAGTCTTCAGAGATGCTGTTATAATGTGCTGTTCCCATCAACCAAATTTTCTCCCTTGTGTAAGTATATGGGATATTGGCCTTAGTATAAAATAATCAAAGCACATAAATATGCCTTTTTAAAGTAGGAAATATATGATATAATTGTTTTAATCTTAAATATTTTAATTTCCACATATTCCAAAATGTAAAAAAAAATCCGGTGCTAACAAATTCAGTTATGGCACAAGCAGGAGACTTGTTCAACAGTTGCAGAACCCAAGAAAAGACACCTTGCCTACATTGGTCCATGTAGATAGCTTTACAGACATTGTAAGCCATTTAAGGAATAGCAAGAATTTCTCTAAATAGTATAGAAATGAAACATCCTTAGTGACAGATTTGTATGAACATGAACATTCTTGAACCTCTTAAACATATAAATGACAATAAAATTATGTTATAATGAAAAATTATATAGTGCAAATGTTTTGTAATTTCATTTTGAAGGTGTGCCATTTCTCTAAGCGAGAAGTTTAAAAATAAGGCTACATTCCTGTTCTTTGATTTTCACTAATTACAGTTTCAGAAGGACAGAGAAAATAAGTCTTATAAAAGCACACCACATTTATTAATTCAGAATAATTGCATTCTGAATTACATTGGGTAATTCTGGAATCACATTCAGTGGGTTTCCAATTCATATATAGAACCAAAGGGTGTTTCCACTTTCGTATACATGTTGAATGGGTAAGTGGATTTCATTTGCTTTCCACCAAATCTTTTTTATGGTCAAAATGTATTTTATTTTTTGATTCCAGCAAATGCTTTCGGAGTAAGTTAATATGGCTGGATGGCAAATGGGTGTTTATTCTCCTGAGCTTTCAGTCCCATTTAACATTTCATTATCATCTTGTATGTTTGTGTAACAATACATGGTTTGAAAGGAGTTTTATGCAGCAGTTTTTGAGTACTAGTTGAATTTACGTGAAATAATTTTCATATTTTTATTTCATACAGAGAATCTTCCTTTAAAACACATCTGTAATATATTTGCTGTAAATGGCACGGTGGTTTAAGTGTTGGACTACAATTCTGGAGACCAGGGCTTGAATCTCCGCTGAGTAACATTAGGCAAGTCACCCTCTTCTCTCAGTCTCAAAGGCACAGGCAAATCTCTTCTACCAAATCCTGCCAAGAAACCCCTGTGATAGGTTTATCTGGGGTAACCATAAATAGAAGCTTCTGGTGGTGCAATGGGTTAAACCCTTGTACCAGCTGGACTGCTGACCGACAGTTCAGTGGTTCAAATCTGGAAGAGCGGGTTAACATCCCTCTGACAGCTCCAGCTCCCCATGTGGGGACATGAGAGAAGCCTCTCACAGGTTGGTAAAACATCAAACATCCGGGCGTCTCTTGGGCATCGTCCTTGCAGATGGCCAATTCTCTCACACCAGAAATGACTTGCAATTTTTCAATTGCTCCTGACATGAAAAAAAACCCATACATTATGAAAAATGGCTCGAATGCACACAACAACAGTGTATTTGTAGCTACTCTTCCAAAACTAAGTTTCCCCCCTACAAATATGTCCCAGCAGTGCAGAGTATTATGCACATGTTGACTCAAAGAAACAACTGAAGAGGATAACTCTCAGGCTTGCACACTCACCTTTACACAATGGACCTGGGGACAGGGTGTATTAATGCCTTTTTATGTGGCAGAGAGTGACCATGCCCTAACTGTTTACAAAATGTAGAGATTGTTTTTGTAGTCCAGGCATAGTCAAATGGCAGCCCTCCAGGTGTTTTGGACTTCAACCCCCACAATTTCTAACAGCTGGCAGAAATCTAAGGCCCTATCTATACTGTCTTTATGTCCCAGGATCTGATCCCAGGTTATCTGCTTTGAAGTGGATTATATGAGTCTCCACTGCCATATAATCTGGGGTAATCAGATAATCTGGGATCAAATCCTGGGACATGAGGGCAGCGTAGAAGGTGACACAGTCCCATTCCTTTATCTATTTTGAGAATAGGTCCTAAACCATTTTTTTGGCCTAAAGTCATTGTCCAAAACCCCATTTAAGCATTGCAAATGAGTTTCGGTCAACTGAAGCCAAAACCACTGTAATGATTTGATTCCAATTATGAATATGGATAAAGTTTGAAGCCAGTGCAGCCCAATTTTGATTTAGAGGAGTGTTTATCGCAGCATTTCCTAATAGTAGATTTCAAACTGCTGTTTAGATTCATCCAACTATGAAGTCAAAATTGAAAATCTGGCATTGACAGCCCCTTTGATAAAAAGAGAAAGGGAAAAATGAATTTGATACATTTTTGCCAGTCAGGACTGTGACGATGTTCTATGATAATCCCCTTTAATTTTTGTATTTATTATGTTATCATTATACCCAGTCACTTCTCAGTCACCAGGGTCCCAAAGTGATGTATAACATTTTTTAAAAAATATATGCAGATTAAAACCATTAAAACCCCCAGTTTTGACCACATCAAAAAACTCAGCAAAGTCAATCCAGGCCCAAACCATGGAAAAACAGTTGCAATCTCGGGTACCTGCTAAAAGCTCAGTAGAGATGGGTTCAGCCTGACTCCATTTGGAAAGAGTTCCATGAATAAGGTTCCTCAATAGAGAGAACACTATTTTGCATGTTGGATTGGTGGTACAGAGCTGCCTATGAGAACCTCATATTCTGGCCTGCTTCATTTGTAAGAACAGCGGGAGATAGATAGGGAACAAAAGTAAATGCATGCTTTCCCTTTACTAACTCTCCCCCACTCCTGCACCCTGCTTCCTTTTTGAATTAAGGCAAAGTATATGCACAGGGCAACTAGAAATATTTAACTTAGCCAAGAATCAGTTATCACAGCAAATCTTTACGTGGGTTTTCCTTTATTTTAGATATCCAGACAAAGACATGTTTCTGCCCTCTTCCAAAAGGACAGAACTCAAGCTGGATATGAATCAGACCACATTTTTCACAGGGACAGAAAGTAAGGTGAAATCTTCTGAACAGTCACAGACAACAAAACAAATGTCACAGGGGTGTTAACCCTTCGCTAAGCTATCCAAAACTCAAAATAGATCTCTCTCGCTACATACATACATATATATCTCTATCTATCTATGGCTGGCTTTACATTTTAAAATGTACTTGGTTGTGACTTACATTCAGATTCAGCTTAAGAACAAACCTACAGAACCTATTTTCTTTGTAACTTGGGGACTGCTTGTATACACAAAAAGAAAAGGAAATACCCACTTTCTTTTCACAGCTTTTGTGGAAAATTACGCTCATTATTTTAGAAATGCTAACGGAGCTTTGCTGTTGACTTCAGACTCTACAGCATGTGTTCCAACCTATCTCCAGCATTTAGCCACAGTTTCTAACACTAGTAATTTCTCATGTTAGGAACTGTAACATTAGGAACTTGCATAGTACACTTTAGTATTCTTAAATTTGTCCTAAGAAAATTCTTATTTTCCAAAAACATTTTTGTTTTACAAAAAGCAATTTAATAGGTTCTGTTTTTTCAAAAGGCTTTGTAGATGCTAAGAAATAATAAAAATTAAAGGTATTCTGCTTCTAAATCAACACTTTAAAAATACCAAGGAGGCAAATTTTCAATCACTTTCTCCATTTAATTGCAGAAAAACCCAATAACTTGATTTGAATCTAAAAACAGTCTCAATTTCATTTTGTGGATGTTTAAAATTTGAAGGATCTAAGAAAAGTATTTTTGTTGCATGCATCTCGGTACTGTCTCATTTTAGTTACTAACCATAATAGTGATATTTTGGCTCTTTTTAAAGTCAAGGTGTATTGATCATATTTATATATGTATTAGGGGCAATCATTTAAAGAAAGGGTGCCTGCAGCATGCTTATGAATAATCATGTTTTCAGTTTCTTTATATTCAGCAGAATAGTATGACACTGTCATATGTAGCAAGTCTGTATGATATAGACAACATAAATAATACAGAAACCAGTAAAGCTGATTCTTTCATAAGAACTGGCAAGTTTCTTTTTCTGCTTCTGCCTATGAAATATTTGTTGAAATGCAAGTTAGAGAGCAATGTAGACAATCTATTCTGAAAATTGCAAAGGTTGTCAGTATTGCATGCATGTGAACCACACATATTATTCAGAAATGTTCACTAGTAAGCTTTTGGTATTCAGATTTACTGTGCAATTATCATACTCTGTTTAAAATGATGTCTCATGAAGATATTTTCCATAATTGGTAAATCTATGATTCTGGATTTTACTTGCAGGAAGCTGTCTGTATCTTCATGCATCAGTGGCATAACATTTTTTTTCTTTTAAGTTTAGCATTACATGTGACAATTCATCAGTTGTGACCGTAATGCCTGGACTTATGGGCTTACTAGATATTGCAGGCCCCATGCTCTGTATTAGGAAGGGGCAACTGCAGCAGATACAGATTCAGTATTTTGTCACAGAACACTTAAGGGGCCACATGTCCCACCAAGAACCTGCCAGATATCCCTTTCTTGTTTTGAAAAACAGATTGTTGTTGGAGTTTTTGTGCTAAACAGTGGTGAGGAGAGGCTAGACATAGTTAAAAGATTGATGTTTGATGCAAAAACAAGTGATTAATGTAATGCAATAAAAATAGCCACCGGAACATAAAGAGATGATGAAATGACACATTTACATCTTTCCCACTGATTTTTTAACTTAAATTTATTGTATAATTATTTGAAGTTTTGCTAAAAACTACTGGTATGCTGTATTAAGAGAGGCAGCATGATATCATGATTTCAGTATTGGACAAGGACTAAGGGAGACTGGGATTCAAATGCCTGGTCATCCATGGAAAACCATTCAGCTAACTTGGGCAAATTAAATGCTCTTAGCCTAACAAGAAGGCAGTGGAAAACCTCTAAATAAATGTTACCAAGAATTAAGGTCCCCCTAAGTTGGTGTTGATTTGAAGGCACCTAACAACAAAAACAAAGTCAACAGTTGACTATGTCCCTTTGGTTCAGTGGGTCCAATTTAGTTGAGACTAGCAATTTAGTTGAGACTAGTCCAATATATGGACTAGTTGTCCATATATTTGGAGACTGCTCTTTAGACTAATATATACAGGTTCTCATAGCCCATGCTATATGTTTACATACCCAATAGCTTTGATCCTATAGTTGAGTGGATGCACTCAGTTGATACAACTACATTGGCCATTTAACATAGTTTGAAGCTAGCTGAACAATGAACTCCCACAAAACCACACAAAAGAAGACCCTTAATGTGTACCAGTTTATGTAATCACCTTAAGCTGGTTCCAGGATTTCCTATATAATCATTTGCACAGCAAAACAATTTTTTTCAGTACTGGTTTGAAACAGCATTAAATAAGTGTAGATGCGGCCCCAGCGAAATAGATGTTTCAATTTTCCATGGAAACTGAAAATAAAATATCACTTTTAAAAGAGTTTGTTCTTCGACTAATGAGTCAGATCTCAGCAAATTATTTATTTAAAAAGTAGTTTGAAAATTTTATTCCAGACTTCCTTTCTTCTCTGTTAGTTGCATTATAGTTGAAGAAGCTATTTTCTGAGTTTCAAAAGTAATAAAAGTTATTACTTGTAGTTGCTTTTAAAACTTCTGAACCAAATACTGTCTTTTCCTATAGATTATTACCTCACCATTCACAGCAGAGAAGGAGGCAGGAGCACAAACCTGAGTGTGAAGCATGTGATAATAAGTGGGGTATTGTGTGGTTTTGGGACTAGCATCTTTGCATCTTCAGAGGAAATAGTGAAACATCCGAAGAAAATGCTGCTAGAACATGGCTGTACAGCCCAGAAACTGCACAACACCCCAGTGATTCTGGCCGTGAAAGCCTTCGACAATATATGTGATAATCCTCTTTCTGTCATTAACTAGGGTTGCGTATACAATAAAAGTTACTAAGAATACATTTATACAATGAATTGAGTGCATCCCAGCTGAATTCCCTGTAACTATTTTACACTATAGGAAATGACTAGTTAGTCTGATTGTTTACTTATATGCTCTGAGTTTGTTCACTGTTTATTTAATTTTACAAAATCAACCTACATGTTATTTTAAATGGAATATAGTACTTCATTAAATGGCATATAGTACATATTTACTTCTGAAGAAAAATCAGGTCTAGTAATTGGGATAATTATTTAGTCCTGCTCTACAACCTCTCCATTGTTAAATGGGTATGTTACTGTTTTCAGCTTCCTTGAAACAATTTTTCTGCAGTTTACTCATAAAATGTTATATTCCCAGGTTTCTTTAAGGAAAACCATGATGGTAAAATTTGGTGCGCAAATTCTACAACTTTGCTTTGCAGTATTATTTACCCCTTTCCTTCGTCTTTTCCATATTTTGTGGTTTTAAATAGATGTTATCATTGTTGCCATTTGATACAGTCTCAAGACACTCAATAGTGTGAAAGTGCAATATATATATATATTTGTTGTGGAAATATTTGCAGCTTCTTGGGTATGTCTCTATTACAAAGTTTTCCAAACATTTCATGTTGATGATACACTTTTTAGACATGTATTGATCTGCAACTTAGTAACTCAGGTTAACTGTAAACTAAACCAATCCTTATAAGAGATACAAACACATACATGAATTTTAATAATAAAATGTATGGACATTTAACATATCTCATGAAAAACTTCCAAATGTATGTTATTATTTTACAAAAAATAAAATATATTTGGAAGATTTTGAAAAGGCACTAAATATAGATAGGTCTCTAGAGACTTGTATGTATATCTACAGCCATTTTACCAAAAAGAATATGAGAAATTCAAGCCCTAAAGGAACATGTCTTGTCAGGAAATTCAGGGTCCTCTGAGTAGACTTACAGTCAAATGATATTGTTGCATTATTCTTTTGAAGTTTGTGGTGTTGGTAAAGATTCTTCTTGGCCTGTGAAATATTGAAAATTGTTTGTTTATGATGTGAAAGCTTTTCTGTTGCTCGTTATGGGAAAGGGGAAAGTAATTTGCTATTTCATAGCTGATAACAATGGAAAGAAAGCTTTACTAGGACTCTAGAGTATAGAATGGCATCAACTGACCACCCACTTTTGAAAAGTCCAGAAACACACTTTTCATTACCATTCATGGTGCCTTCAAATTCACTCCTGAATCAAGGAATCCTCTTTTGTGTAGCTTCTCATTCAGGAGTCATTTGGGGAAGTTGCAATTAGCTTTCTGAGATGCTTGGGGGCTTTTGGATTCTAACCTTCATATAAATATCAAGGAACCAATTTACATAACCTTTTGTGCCACAGATCAAAGGTATTTTTATTTATTTAAACAGAGCTATCCATACATTATGGGCACAATTGTAAGATCCATTGAAATTAATGGAGAGTGCACAGGTGGGAGCCCTCAAAATTGTGCCCTTTAGTGTGTAGGTAGAACATTTTTCTCACACATGTTTAAATGAGATGCTACTTCAAACATGGTAAATTTCCTATATATCTAACACCTCACATCAGAAAAAGATATTCGGCAAATCATTTGCACATTATCAGGTGCTATAATCCTACACTGGCGTGTTTCACTGTGAATGAAATGGTGCACATGTGATTTGCATGCATTTTCTTATAAGTCCATGTAGGAAATTTGTTGCATTTGAAGTAGCCACAGATCTTTGGGAATAAAAAATCCACTAAAACCAAACATTTTCCTTAATCATCCTCATGCTTAAATGATATGTTACATGCAGAAAAAAGTCAGCCATCAGTTTTTTAATCACCTGATTTTTCATATATTTTTTCATCCTAAGAAAGGTTTTACTCCAGTTCAAGCCTTGTTGAAAACCAAAAGGGATTAAATCATTAAGCAGAATGTCAACTTCCTAAAAGAAGCCATTAGTGTTACCTTTTATCTCTACAAGCATATTTCACTTTTAACCTACAAATGTTTCATTACTTGTTTGCATTACATTCCTTGAACTAATAAATATGTATGTGTGTATATCAATAAAGCCAGCATCTGTTCTGTACTGTTGGACATGGCAAGAAGATATGCAGTTCTTCAGAGCGTCCTGAATCTTTTAAAATGAATTTGTGTACATTGAAGAAGTATTCTCTGAATTATGTGTGTTTAATGTGCACTGCCGTTAAACTACTTGTTTTCTCCCTGCCTGCTCTTTGAAGATGCCAATTAGGAATAATGGGAAACAAGGGGTAGGCTAAGCATTGCAGTGCATTCTTGTTTACATCTGTGTGTGATTATTTCAGTCTAACGTTTTAAACACTTTGGTCTATTCATGCTCTCATTGACATTAATGGAGTCTTGCCATTAGCTTTAATGGGAGCAAGACTGGACTTTGCACTCTTGTTTTTCTGTTGTGTTCATCACAGTCTTTCTTGTTTGTGAACTGACCACCCACCCATGCATGTGTTTGCCAGGTATATTTATTTGTGCTGTTTCACCAAGGGGCTTGTTTCTTCTTATGTTTCAGGTTAAGTATTTGTAGTATGAAAAAAAGAATTTTAAAAAAGGATTTGGGGTAAAACTGTCTGTTGACTTTATCATCATCTTACCTAGAAAACATAGTTATAAATTATTTCATGTAGTTACTGAATTAAACCCTATGAAATGCTAACCTACACTAAGTGGTTCAATACTGCATTTCTGAGTAATAGTAAGAACTTTGGTCTTCAAACCCAAAGTTAATATGTTATTTCTTTAAAGCAGGGAATTATGTCTTTCCTTCCAGTAGTTCTTCCCAAGGCATGGCCCCCCATGGCCCAGTTATGCAAATTAGTGAGAAAAATCACCAATGAACAGGATACCCAAAAATCCTTTCAGCATATTGAGTCTGGGACTGAGGAGCAATGTTTACAAACTATCTGAAATATCGGTGGGTTTCTTTTTCATTTAATAGGCTCATGAAACTGAGGAAGAAGCACGAATCAACCCTGACTTTGCTGACAGAATGAAACAGCTTGACAAAGAGGCGGCATACTATAGAGATGAATGTGGCAAAGCTCAAGCTGAAGTTGACAGGCTTCTAGAAATCCTCAAGGAAGTAGAAAATGAAAAAAATGACAAAGATAAGAAAATTGCTGAGCTAGAAAGGTACATTACTCATTGTTTGTGTTTCTCACAAATGCATTTTACATTGACCTTGAAACAATGGCAATATATACATATATAGTTAAACTATACAAGCAAGACAAGACAATGAAACAATAACAGATCATGCTTGTGTGATGTGCCAAAGAAAGAAGTATCTGTTTGCACTTTATTCAGATTGCTTTGCAGGCCAGGGGCAGATTTGGTAAGGTTGCCAGCAACCAATGACTTTGGGAAAGAAGAAATAGTCCTTTTTTTTTTTTAAAAAAAAAGAGGAACAAAAATTAATAATACGACAATATTCTTTATGGTACTGAAGCAGAGGAGGATTGCAGTGCAATGGTAGCAATAAAATATATTTTAATGTAAATATTATACCCTGAACAATATGAACCTTGATGAATATCTAATTTGCAAAAATAATTGAATTACATCTGTGAACAATAAAAAAACCTTATATTTATTTTTGTTTGTCTATGTTGACAGAGGTATTATGCTCGACTCTTAGGATTATAAAGTGGCTCTGCTCAAGGTGTGCAAGACTTAAATTGGAATACTTTTTTGAGTTTAAAAATGGAGGCTGATTTCAGCTGACTGAAAAAAAAACAGGCACTGATCAAGATAAAGGGGTTCTCTTCATTCTTGCATGTTTATATCAGGTACATGTAACTTCCAGAGGGGCTAGGGTCCTTTTGCCTAAGGTAAAGGTAAAAGACTTGGCTGGCTAATCATCCTAAAATTATTTGGCAAAAATTGAGAGCAGGACTCTTATATGATTGTGACTCCCTAGGCATCAATCAGAAGTGTATGGAATTAATATGTGCATACAAAACAAATATTAAGACAGCTATTGCACCTGAGTCCTTTCAGTGCATTCCTGCTGAAGAGCAATCCATACTGAATATGTGGAAGGGAGTTACCTAAATATGCATTGCTCTTGTAAGAATTTTCATGTTTAATTATGTTTGAATGACAATGGGTGGGGAAAGTAATTTGCCCTCTGTGGCAAATATCCAAAATTAATAACAACTGTCCTGCCAAAATTGACCCACCCCCCTTAATAACAGTTCCAGGTTCCATATCATCATATTTTCTCCAGGATTTCCAAGTTGCCTCTCAGATTGATTTTAAAAAAAAATAAAAAGAGAAATAACAAAAATACAGAAGTTGCCAAACTAGCACAATATTCCCAGGCTTGTCATGATGTAGCTGGTCCTTGTAACTGGCTGCTGCCTGGACAGCAATGCCAAAGGGAGGCCAGTTTTCCCTTCTGTAAACACTCAGTTAATACACAGTAAAAGAGTCACCAAAATGGGGCTCCCTCCTCATATATTTGCGTTAAGGCTTTCCTCTATCTTCATCAGGGAGCCCCTTTAGTGGATGCCAGATTCAGTTGTTTCATTTCTCAGTGTTCACCAAGAGCCTGCCAAATATCTGTGATTTCAAGAGAGAATACAAAGTTCTGCAAAGATACTGCTGCCAGGATGAGTATAGATCAGGACTCCCATAGCTTTAAAAGTTACCAGGTTCTGGATCACAAATCCATGTAATAAAGTTTCATCCAGCAGAATGATGTCCTCTCCTTTTCCTTGCTCTTTCCCTTTTCAAGAATACAGTGTCTCGGTGTGCCTATTTTGAAATCCGTGGAACCCGGGGGAGGGGGGGAGAGGAGCAGAGAAGGGTCCAAATCCCTTCTTATTACTAATGTATGGCACCTGGTGTTTTATGTATCAATGCTCATGGTATCTTTGTATCCAAAAGAATCAGACATCACCTGAGAACCGTCTCATATACAAGACCTCGAACCTACCTTCCCTCCAGCTGTAGCACAGTAATTGGGAAATGGTCAGTCACTTCAAAGGCACTGCAGGGGGCACGGGATGGGCAGACCTCAAACGGAGGATGGAAAAATAAATGAAGTTTAACTTCCTTTATTTTCACTTAAAGAAAACAAAGGATGTTTGAGTAGTATTTAAAAATCTTGGAAATAAGTTATTCTTGACTTTCCACAAGCTTGTTCATAAAGAAAACATTCTTGAGAAAGCTGGTGAGGGAGGGACGCTTTGTTGTACAGATTATGGCTTTAGGGTATGGCTTTTGGAGTCTTGTTACTGCTTTATAATTCATGATTTGGTGCCTCCCATGAAGTCTACTATCTTGAGATTTCTTTTTGCAGCTTGCTTCCAAGATGTGAGTACCCCTGTTGAGTGTTTCTTGGTTAAGAAAAGCTACTAGCTACTCATACATTTTAACAACAGAAGTTTATATGAAAGAGTAAAATATATTATCTGTTTAAAAGTTTTGGTGTTCTCTTAGAGGACTAGTGATGAGACTTGTTTCAACTTGCAGAGTTTTCAAAAATGTTTTTCAATATTTCCTGCTTTACGTGTTCCTTTCTGAGAAAAAAACCCACATTTGGATGCTTAACATTATTTGGAGAGGGATAGCAATATCATCCCCTCAAAGACCCAAATCTACAGTCTGTGTTGGATAGGGTTACACTCCCCCTGAAGACACAGGTTTGCAGTCTGGGAGTTCACTGAGCCTGGAGCCCCAGGTTCCAGCAGTGGTCAGGGGAGCTTTTGCTCAATTAAAACTTGTGCTCCAGCTGCGCCTGAACCTTGGGAAGTCTGACTTAGCCATGGCGGTCCATGCTCTGGTTACATGCTGAATAGATTACTGCAACACCCTCTATTTGGGATTGCCTTTGAAGACTGTTTGGAAGCTCCAAATGGTCCAATGGGTGGCAGCCAGATTGCTCACCGGAGTGATGCACAGTGGAGTTGCATCAACTCCACTGCCTGCCAATCTGCTACTGAACACAATTCAAAGTGCTGGATTTAGCCTATAAAGCCCTGAGTGGTTCTGGCCCAGCTTTCCTGTCCAAACCATCTCAAAGATTGAGATCATCAGGAGAGGCCCTGCTCTCGGTCCTGTCTCCTTCACAGGTGTGGTTGGTGGGGATGAGAGACAGGCTCTTTTCAGTAGTGGCTCCTCGCCTATGGAACTCCCTCCCCAGTGATACTAGATCAGCCCCTTCCCTCCTGACTTTCAGAAAAAAGGTGAAAACATGGCTTTGTGACCAAGCCTTTTGGCAACTAATACAATACAATAGATGACTTGGATTTATGTGTAACGATCATTGGAATGGCCCGGCCCGATCTTGATTGTGGATAATATGATTTTATAGCTGTAAGTGGTATTGTTTCTGTTTTAATTGCTTTTTAACCTCATTTAGATTTTTAACTAAATTTTATTTAATTATTGAATTGTTTAAGGCATTGAATTTTGCCTCTGCTGTAAGCCGCTTGCAACCCTTTCAAAGTAAAGAAAGGCAGTACATAAATATAGTAAGTAAATAAATACATTTAGTTTTTTTTTATTTTAAAAATCTTGTTATTTTGTATGTGGATAATTTCACAAAGTGCTGCTCAAAAATTGAACATTTGAATTGCCATAATCATTTTTTTTCAAATCCACTAGAGAGCATCTATATTTTCTTCTTTCCTGTCTATTTGCAACTTTAGGACTTTTTCTCAGAAGAGGGCACTGAAACTATGAATTTAGCAGGATGAATCAGAAATTATGTTTTTATTTTTATTTACATGTGTGAGTTTACTGGAAAAATAGATCTACAAATGAACTTCCTTCATGAAGTTTTTCTTTGTTGTCCATGAATGTGCAGATATATATGTCATATAAGAAATAATGAAGGACTTCATTTTTACGGTGTGTACAATATATTGTCCATGTATTCATTTGCACATTTTTACTAGATTTTTTTCTAGGAAATAAATAGATAATTGATTTATGATAACCTACTAACCTTCTGATGTGTAGGACCTACATATATATCTGGGGACCTTTTCACATTATGACTATTGCACAATAAATATGAATAAGACTCCTGTTTCTTGCTCTAATTCCTTGTGCTTTTCTGAAGAAAAACTTTTTGCGGAATCAATTAATTCCTAAACATTGTTCCAGCCTAGCTTTCATCGGAAGTGAGTTACGCAAATATCACAGCACACCTTGTGAATATTTTATGTAACTTCTAAGAATGACAAAATAACCCTCTTGTTTTAGTTTTGTATTTTTACAGGATATAAAAGCAATATACATTTCACTAAGTGATTTGTCACAGAAACATCTAGCAAAGATGTTTGCTGAATGGAAAGGAGAAAGTTTGATAAAAGGGAGAATGAGGAATAGGAACATCATGGCATCTTGCATTTTATGCTTGAAAAAAATTTCATTCTAGTCTCTTGTAGCTTAGAATTGTAATAATAAAGACCTGCTTCTGACATTCTTGTAGTCATTGTTGGTAATAGTAAAGCAATGTTAGGACGTGTTCCACACATTCAGGAACTGGACATTCCTCCCAACCAGTCTTCTGATCTGAGAGTAAAACAGAACTTCTAGTGCTTTACTGAGGACAAGTTTTAAAAGAATATCTTAAAGAACATAATCAAATGCTTGGAGACACAATATGGAAAGAAACATATTCCATCATGAATATGAATGTGATGTCTTATATGAGACTTCTGCACAATTTCTGTGAAATTTCTGCAGTCATTTAGTTTTGAGAAATGAATCTAAGTTATACAGAAGATATTAAAAATTGGTGATCCATCTCTCAAGTGACCTGGTAAGCCATATCTCTAACTAGCTTGATATGACTAAGCAAAGACAGCTGAATTTTAGAACTTCCAACCCAGGCCCTGCACTCATATCTAATTGATTCTGTGATTCCTTGCAGCATAGAGGATACTTACTCCACTTCCAACAGCCACCTTGGATCTTGTGCAAGAAATGATATATAAATCAATACATACATACATATTGTTCCTGTGACCGGTAAATTGCAGAAAGCGTCCAAAGTAATAAAGAAAGAAGCCAACACATACTTCTTTCTAATTTTTACTTACTTAATATAATGAGAAAAGAGCTATTCTAGTTCTAATGAAAATTTGTCAACAAATATGGAAAATAATACAATAGCTCACACTGGAAATGCTCAGTATACATTAAATTACCCAAGTAAGGAGACACCAGGTTTTACAAGATCATTGCATTGATTTCTCATGTGAGCAAATCGATGTGCAAAACACATAAAACAGGAGAAGGTTTGGAGGAAGGGGGTATGAAAATTGAGGAAGGAGTTTAAGATGTGCAGATGTCACCATACTACTAGCAGAATATAGCAAAAACTTGGAATGATTACTGAAGAGAACCAAGGAAGAAAAAAAGGCAGGCTTATAGTTGATAATTAAGAAAGCAAAAATAATGACCACAGATAATTTTGTCTAACTTGAAAACAGACAACAGTGATGTTGAAATAGCTTTCAGATTTTCCATACCTTTGCCAACCTATAGCGGCCCCATGAATTTCAAAAGGTTTTCTTCAGCAAGGGCAACTCAAAGATGCTTTGCTCTTGGTTCTGACACTAATAAGAATGGAGTTAAATAATCTGAAGAAGATTAGGACTTGGAAGGGCAGTTATGGAGGAAATAGAAAAGTTCCTGAAATGTCATGATTTATAATTGAATTCTAAAGTTAGGATTGTCCAGGTCATCACATTTCCAATTTTTATGTTGTGAAAATAAAAGTGGTGAAAACTGAAGAAAATCAACTCAGAACCTCTCAGGCCTCTCATTTGGGTGTGTGGTTCAACTTATGCAGTCCTAGGGTTTAGTTAGGTAAGGAATGCTCAGAGGTAGTTTTGCTAATTCCTTCCTCTGAAATATAAGTGACAACACCTGGTATTCATTATTGGTTTCCCATCTGAGTACTACCCAGGGCTGTCTCTGCTTAGTTTCCATGATTAATCATGATCCAGATCCTTTAGGGTAGTTAAGCCATCATTCACGGGTCACCATAAGCAGAACTTAACAGCAATAAACATAATGAAGTGTTGGTTCATTTATGAGAGTTGATAGCTCTTGAACCAATTTAGTAATTAGCCCAAATCAAAGCAATCTCAGCACTCTCTTGGTTACCTGGACAGTTTTACCTCAATTATTATAGAACTACCAGAACTTTAACCACACATTTGTATACTATAATGTTAAACATATAATAATGTTAAACTATAATATTAAAGATCCAGGTCTTATGACTGGACTCCCACCTGGGATCACCCTCAGACTTTAAAACTCTTTATGAGTTCTTCAGAGTGATAGGAGAATGACGTTATTGGGCATGATTATGATGGGCCACATTTGAGTCATATGGTATCTTGGCACAAGATATAATGAAATGTTCTGTATATTTTATATAATGCTAAACTAAATTACAAGTGGTATACTTCTGAGCATCCAAGATTTTTCCTACATGTATGTTAGTTTATAAATACTTTTTAGAAGTATTCCATTACACTCATACACTAAAACAGCAAAGTTTTATTGTCATTTGATCACTGATGGAGTTCTGTTACTACCGGCTTTAAACAATATTGAAGATAGAAAACAGCAGAGTTGGCCTGCAGACACGAAACTGGAGATTAACAGAATAATTGGCTCTCCTTTTATATGCACAAGGTAAAGGGAAACTATGTGCAGACCAATTTTTTAAAAGATCGGTTTCTTTTTAATGAGTCTCAACTAGAGCATTTGTAGTAAGGGCACAGTTGCTAATCATGCTGCATGACCTCAGTTGTTTTATGCACAGCTGCAAAGCCCTGTAAGGAGATGGGTGTCAGAGCTTTCCTTTGTTGTAGAGAGAAGGTGCTGCTTATTAGCGACCTCAATTTGTTCCAAAGTTGAGCAGAAGTTTGTAGACTCAACTGCTGTGGACCCACATACTAATGGTGGGGAGGTAAGAGAGATGCCCTGTAAATCTTAGTTTATGTGAAAACATCCTGCAGAGATGTGGAAGCCATTAAAGTTACTAGATATAAGAAAGAAAACTACGCCACTAGCCTCCATTTATGTGTGTGCCTTTGAGATGTAAGGAACATTTACATTTCCTCCTCATCAGTGAGAGAAAAATTGTCAACCGCTGCAAGATTTTTCACATTTTGAGACCTTTCTTTTGGAAAAAGTGATTTGTTCAAAAACATTGTTTTGTACACAAACATTGTCATGCAGAGAATAGTGTATTTTGTAAATAACTTTTATTAAAAATATTAACAATTAATTTATGTGCACATAAATAATATAGATATGTGTATGTATCTTTTGTATGAAATCTGGTTTCTATGCAAATGAAATGCCTGCATAAAAGTCCAGAAATGTGAAAACCAAAAAAAAAAAAAAAAAAAGAAAGACTCCCATAATCTTAGCCAGGAAGGAGAAAACTGTTGACATTTTTCATTCCTCCATGCAAGAATCGTCACAGTGAAGCCTGCTATCCCTAGTGTTTAGATGTTTGGTGCCTTTCACCATTATGTGTACTGTCTGCCACAGGATAGAGGGGACCTCTGGCAAAATACTAGTTTTACAATCCCAGCATCAGCACCTGCATGTCCTTGTCATGAGAAGATTGAGTGCTGATTCTGGGTCTAGCTGAACCCCCCCCCCCCAATTTTTAATTTGTTTGTTCTTACACTGACCAAGCCAGATAGGTTCAGCAGTAATCATACTTCACCTGTCTAGATCCTTCAGACTTAAAGAGAACACAGAACTCAAAATCAATCCCAAACCATTAAGAAAAAGAAGAAAGAAAGTTGCACAGCATCAGGTGTTCCCCCAAAAGGGAAGGCAGTTGCACTTCTTCAAAGCCAAATGGGTCATGGACCTTTGCAACTGTTATATTTAAATTGTGAAGTATGGGTTATAGTTTTCAGTTGCCTCACATTTACTTGCTATCACAGGCAAGTGATGTCTGCTCGTCTCAGTGACATTTCAGGTTGTGTAACTGCAGAAGCACCTTCCCCTGAAATACATGAAGATAATTCTGCATAAAGGAAGCAAAGGGATTGAAATTATACAAAGCAGCATGCCAAAATAGTTATGCAGCTGTTTCTGCTGTTTTAAAAAATAATAAATCACCTTTTTGCAAAATACTGCAAGAACATACACCTGTGATGGCTCTGGGGTCTATTTTAGTTTGGCATTAGATAAGGGTATGCATGTGTGTTTTGGTTAATTGAAAGGACATGTTAAATATTTTTGTACAAAATAAGTTATCAAGCATCTGGACATTCTCAGTGATGATCTAATACTCTTACGCTTGGAACTGAAAAAAGATTGCTCTCAGCTTTAGAGCGGACTATATTTCCATGGGAAAAAGTAGTGCCTTTGATCAGTGGAAGTGATCAGTATTCGAGAATCTCTGACATAAAATGCTTTGAACATGTAGCCAAGCCGTTCAGCTTCTTTTCTTTTTCATGGTGAAGATGACTTGCTGCATATGAGTCATCCTGAAATCCATGTTGGTTGATGTTGTTTTTGTGTTTTTGTTTTCTTAAAAATACACAAATGCCTCCTGCTGAACATATGGCTTAGCAACTGCCATCTACTTCATTACGTTCCACTTGTATGTGTATACCAAAGGGATGTATACATATTCTAAAGTAACCTTTCCATAGTACACAAGCAACAATGGTACTTCCTCCCCAGCTGTTGCTTTGCTCATCACTCATCAATGAAACACTCTGCACTAATGTTATTTGTTGATTTCCCTTTTTGAAAGTAGACTGCTGATATAACATCTGCTTATTTTTATGTTGAAAAAACTAATGTTTTCCCTCCCTTTATTCTCTTGCTATCTCCCTCCTTTGTTTTGGTTTACTTTCCAAATGGCTGCTTTCACCCCTGCTCCAACCAGCTTGACTTCCAGGTCAGTACCTTTGGTATCTTATTCTCTCATGCCACTCATGTAATCAGGTCTGCTAGATCTTTAAATGCTATTTGCATTTAATTATTTGCGTCCTGCACCCCTAATTTGTTTTCAGGTTTGTTTTGTTTGCTTATTCTTTGTTTGATTTGGAAGACAAGTCTTAAGAAATTACTGGTCACTTACTAATCCAGATGGGAGAACACATTTATTTTATGATGAAACAAAAAACAACAACAACAACACATCAGAATAAACTGGCCATGCTGAATTGCCAATCAAACTAAAGGTATAACAAAAAATTATGGATAAAACTTGATTTCACTGTTTTGAAATATCCAATGGTTAGTGATATCCTGGATATTCATGTCTTTTATCTGTGTTCTATAGAGCTTGTTAAAGACAATGTAATCCACAATTCTTCTTCCACCCATTGTTTCCAAAATAGAGAGCCAGTAAAGTTTTAAGGACCCATGAAACAGAGAACTGAAAAAAACAACAAAGTAAATATGCCCCCCCCCCCACATTATTTCTAAGAACTCTGTAGCAGGTAGAGTTATGTGTAAGGCACTGTACCTGAGAATACACAAGTTTGTCCTCATTCAGATACAACTCATGAATTAATAATCAACATTAAGCCTAACTGACCTCATAGAAGTATTATGAGGATAAAATGCTTATGCCCTTGGAGCTCATGTGAGAAAGGTACCAAGACACATTTTTAAAATAACAGGAAAGAAATCACAGGGTTGAAATGTTTCTTGAACCCGGTTCATCAACCAGGAAATAAGGAAAGTTATTTAGAATTTTAAGAAATATTATGTGTATTTTTGCTTTATCACAAGCTATCGACCTTCAAATATATTTATTTCCAAGTACAATAAAAGAAACTTGGGTAGCTAAGTATCTATAATGATGATATAAATGAATAATATGAAACAATCCTAACGTGATTTGCAGAAAAGACCCTGGCAATACTTTGTATACATATCAGGGAACTGAAGAACATGAAGAATGTTGTAAGCAAACTTGCTGCCCAAAGTAATAATCAATTTAGAATATGAAAAATAAGGGTTTTTTTTAAAAGTGAGATAGTTTCTTTAGAACAGTTGCTATGGTAAATAACTTCAATGGAGATTTTGGTAAAGTAAAGCTGGAATTGCGTTGTTGTAGGTTTTTTTGGACTATATGGCCATGTTCTAGAGGCATTTTCTCCAGATGTTTCGCCTGCATCTATGGCAAGCATCCTCAGAGGTAGTGAGGTCTATTGGAACTAGGAAAGTGGGTTTATATATCTGTGGAATGACCAGGGTGGGGCAAAGAACTCTTGTCTGTTGGAGCTAGGTGTGAATGTTTCAACTGACCACCTTGATTAGCATATAATGGCCTGACAGTGCCTGGAGCAAACTTTTGTTGAGAGGTGATTAGATGTCCTTGTTTGTTTCCTCTCTGTTGTTGTGCTGTTGTAATTTTAGAGTTTTTTTAATACTGGTAGCCAGATTTTGTTCATTTTCATGGTTTCCTCCTTTCTGTTGAAATTGTCCACATGCTTTCTGTTGAAATTGTCCACTTGGATTTCAATGGCTTCTCTGTGTAGTCTGACATGGTGGTTGTGAGTGGTCCAGCATTTCTGTGTTCTCAAATAATATGCTGTGTCCAGGTTGGTTCATCAGGTGCTCTGCTATGGCTGACTTCTCTGGTTGAAGTAGTCTGCAGTGCCTTTCATGTTCCTTGATTGTGTTTGGGCGCTGTGTTTGGTGGTCCCTATGTAGACTTGTCCACAGCTGCATGGTATACGGTAGACTCCTGCAGAAGTGAGAGGATCCCTCTTGTCCTTTGCTGAACGTAACATTTGTTGGATTTTCTTGGTGGATTTGTAGATAGTTTGTATGTTGTGTTTCCTCATCAGCTTCCCTATGCAGTCAGTGGTTCCCTTGATGTATGGCAAGAACACTTTTCCTCTGGGTGGATCTTCGTCTTTACTCTCGTGGCTTGTTCTCGGTCTTGCAGCTCTTCTGATGTCTGAGGTGGAGTATCCATTGGCCTGTAGAGCCCAGTTGAGGTGGTTCAGTTCATCTTGGAGGAAGTGGGGTTCCCAGATTCTTTTTGCACGGTCTGCCAAGACTTTAATGGTGCTTCTTTTTTTTTTTTACTTGGGTGATGGTTGGAGTTTTTATGTAGATATCTATCTCTGTGGTGGGTTTTCTGTAAACAGTGTGACCCAATTCTTGATCTGGTTTACGGATGACTAGGACATTTAGAAAAGGCAGTCTTCCTTCATTTTTTTTCCCATGGTGAATTGGATGTTGTTCAATCCAGTCTGAATGAGCATCTGAATTTTATACTGTACTAAATGATACGTGTGCACGCACATGCATGTATGCATTGTGTGTGAGTCTTTCAGCATGCACATACGAGCCTTCTAGACTGATGACCTCCAGATTTGTGATTTCCACCAACCATGGATTGTCATGCCCCATATTGTTAAATAGCAGCGATATTAATATTAACATGCTGAAGTGTCCACATTCATGTCACCACAATTTAATACTATGGGATGCGATCACCCATGTTTTTTAGTATTTGTTTTACTAAAAACAGATGTGATAGAATAGTCTTGTGTGTTGACAATGTAACTAATGATTCCAGTGGTTCCTTTTGTGAAAATAAATATTAATTTTCCAGAATTTCATTTTTAATAAGATGTTTCTGCAACTATTTGTGAATGCATTTTTAAGAGTCATAATATTATTAGCATCAAAGTGGAGGATTTTAGTCCCACCCCCAGTTTAACACTAGATTCGAATGCAAAATTCAGATACAATAAAGATAGGGAAGTTCCTGGAGTGGTATGAGTTGGGATGCATTGGCCCTGATTAAATCTAGTAAGACTCTTGTCTGTATTTTACACGTTGTTGAATTTGCTAAGAGGCTCCCTTTTCCATAGGATTAGATTTTTAGATTGCTCGCCATTGTGGTTGTCCTTCTTTGGACATTCTCCAATTTGTCAATACATTTCTCACAGCTCATATGAGCAGGTCCCATCAATCAGGAATGTAAATCCTCACTTCTTTTTTTCTTCACAAATGAGGATTAAGAGCATCTCCGAATTCATTAATGTCACTCTTGTAAGAGGGGAAGATAGTTTGTGCTGCAAATTAATGTAGTTATACAAAATATGGCTGTTGCTTTCTTGACTGGATTTTGAAGGATTAGAAATAATACCTAGTGTGTTTGTATCTTTTTTTGCTTGCTAGCTGTGTTTGCTTAGCATCTAAAAGGGGGGAGATGTTAGGCTTCTGTGAATTATGGAAATGTTGAGCTTTTCCCCATGTCTCATTCTCAGTTGGAGGGAAGGAAGCTTGGTGGGAGAGGGGTTGAAAATCCATCACCACATTGAAGCAGCTTAAATCAGTGGTTCTCAAATTTTGTTTTCCAGTTGGTTTAGACTTCAGCACTCAGAATTCTTGACCATTAGGAGCTGAAGTCCAAAACATCTAGAGGACTAAAGTTTCAGAAACACTGGCCTAAATCAACATCAATGGGAAATGTTAACTGGGAATTTTAGGCCAGTTACTTTTCTTTCTCTTTTAAATTCTGTACCAAGATTGCATGATTAAGGTCATCAAATGCTATAGAAAGATATAACATTATCCATAGGATATGTATATCAATGAGTTAATTAATATGATAATTTGTGGTCATCCCGTGCATGGTATGCACATTGCGTGCTTCTCCAAGATAGGAGGCTTTGCAAGTTTCTTTCTGAACTTGTTCTATCCCTCCATCAGTCTGCTGGTTTTTACCTGGAGCAGCTGTCTTCCATTGTCAGAAGGAGCTAGACAAAAGCATATTTTTACAAATCACCCAACGTTTTTATAATCTTTGTAATGATATAAAAGATAAAGCTATGTTTTTTCCATCTGTTTCTCAGGCAGATAATTTTGCTTATCTAATGTTCTTATTTTCAGGCAGGGTTCCAAGTATTGGATGGGCCTAGGGGCACATTTGTTTGAATTACAGCTTTTATCATAATTTCAAGTCTACATTTGTATTATTGCAAAATTCTTGATGTCTCTCAATATAATTTAAGAGAAAACTGAGTTATATATTTACCCAGTGGCGATCAGTGTCAGATGCTCATTTGGAAACAGCCTGTACATGTTTTTCTCTCCTTTTCTATTGGACTAGTCTTTAATAGTTGAGTTCTGCAGAATTTTGTCAACTACAGAAGAGAACAATGGGTCCTTGAAGCACTTTCAGAATGGAGTGTTCAGTATCTTCTTCGCAAAATAGCATGATGCCTTGGTAAAAAACATTGCCTCTAACATATTCTGACACTTGATTTGTTTGGAAAAAAAAGAGTATTTAGTAATCCAAACGCATAGGGAAAGTGTGAAAGCCTTGGAGAAATGTACTAAAAAGGAACTTTGATGGTACTAGACATCATGGTACATAATACTCATGTAGCTGGAATGTCCATCTTATAAAATTCTGGTGTATTTCAAAATTATCTGCTTCATTAAACATTGCTTGAAATTCTGCCAGAAACAGTGGTCAAGATCTTCTAGGACATTCTACTCAAAAGTCATGGTCTACAGACTGATGCCAGTCTACTAGACTGTGAAGACAAGAGTATCTAGTTTTGACTTGCTATATATGTGCTTCTGCCACAGTTGTGGCCCTGTTTCAACTGTAGAGCTTTCAGACTTACTGTCTGTCCCAGCTCAGCCATTACACTGGGGGGGGGGGGGGGGGGGGGAGAGAATAGGGATCTCCTGTCACCTTAAAAAAATCACACTAATGACAGAGTGTCAAGGTTTTGTAATTTGAAGCTGCCTTTTTGTAATTTGAATCAATTGGTTTAGATCATGAAACATTCTAGTGTTTCAATTTTCTTGTTAGATTGTACTGCTGAGAACTGGGCACAGTATTCCAGACCATTGATTCTCTCTATTCAGAAACTATACTCTTATGGGTGCTGCCGAGAATTGCATTGACTT